ACACCGCGAATACAGTCATACATAGTGTCACACGCCGATTCCCACGGCGTTTTATACTACAACAGTCCGAGTAGCAGTTTTCTCTCAGGTAGAACCACCACTTTTTGTTTCAGTTTTTGACCCTTCTCGTGAGGACGTCATCCGTCCTTACTGCTTCTTATCCTTATCCATCCAGCGATCACCCCAACTCGTACGGCGTCCCTTCTCGGTACCGACGCCGCCGACGTACTGGCTCTCGTTCTCCTCCCACTCCTTGCGCTCGACGATACGACGAGCCAGGAACGCACGCGCAAACTTCCACGACTCGGTGTCCGCCAGGTTCCACGCCTCGACGGCCCCACGGATAGAGAGCTCGCGCGCGTCCTTAGTCTTGCCCATATCGCGGGCTCTCTTGAGCAGGGGCTTCTCCTTGTCTAGCTCCTCGGCGGTCGGGATGGGTCCGTCGGCGGGGTCGTGCTTGGGCTGCGGGCGGCGCTCGGGGCCGGGGACGGGGGTCTGCGATGTGCCGTCCGTGGCGTTGTGGGGGATGGCGAAGCCAAAGTGCCAGTCGAGGTCCTTGGGGAGGTCCTTTTCGGCCGTGAGCCAGAGGGAGTGGGCGGTCGCGAACTCGCCGGCGACGGCCTCCTTGAACTTGAGGACGCGCGGGGCGCTGCCGATGCCGACGCCAAGGAGCTCCGTGGTTACGGCGCCGAGCCAGGCATCGCGCTCGGATTTGCGGCGGAGCCAGGGGATCTCGATCGTGTCCTGGAGGTTGGCGAGGAGGGCGGTGGTGTAGGGATGCGGCACGGTGCCGATGGTGTAGAGGGTCGAGGTGTTGCGGTAGCGGGGAGGGGTCGAGACGTGCATGGGTTGCGCGGGGACGCAGGGCTTGCACTTGGGGTTGTTGGGCGGACAGGAGGACGGCATGGGCGAGTCGGGGCACATGGAGAGGTCGCCGGCGAGGTCCCAGGCGTTCTTGATCAGGTTTGTCATGTGTTGAGGCAGAGGCTTGAGGACGGCTATGCCATCTGAGAAGACGTTCTGCCAAGTCGTGTGCAGGTGGCCGTTGATGAGGTTCTTGAGGGCCTTGAGGCCGCCGGCACGGTCTGCGGCGATGGCCTCGCCGACCTTGGGGTACTTGTCCTGGATAACCGCAACGTCATAGTAAGCAATTGCCTTGGGGTAGTTGTCAATCTTGAAGGTGTCCTCGGTGGCAGCAGCGATGAAGTCCTTGGCCTCCTTGAGCTTGGAGCCGGCCATGGTAGCCTTGATGGCGTTTGTCACCTCCTTCTCGCCGCCGGCAAAGAGACCGTTGTTCAAGTTGTTCCAGCGGGTGAGCTCTGGGTACTCGCCACGGCGAAGGTAAGAGAGGAGGGGATCCTCGTGGGAGCCCATGGGCAGGGTGGTGTGGTAGGCGAGCAAGCCACCGCGCATGTTGTCCCAGGCCAGCCAGCGCATCAGGTCGGTCTTGAGTTCAGCGTCCATCTCCTTGCGCTGAAGCTCGTCGTAGAGCGGGTTCTTCATAGCCTCAGCAGCACTAAGGATGATGGGCTTGAAGCCACGGGCCCACCATGCGCGGCGCCAAAGGAGAAGGAGCTCGCTCTCGGCATCCTTGCTTGCGGCGTCCTTCTTGATGGTGGTGTCGTAGTAGCAGTAGATGGCCGAGCGAGGCTTGAGGGGAGGCAGTAGGGAGCGCTCCTCGTCGAGGGTCAACGAGGAAGAAAAGGGCACAGAGAGCCACTTCCAATCCGCCCACCAGGAGGACTCGCCGTACGTATCATTTTGTTGACGCGGGGGCGGGTGTGATGGAGACTTGAAAGGGTTCAATCGGCTCGAGGCGCCGAATGGGTTCTTCAAGGCTGAGGGTATCGAGAACTTGTGGTCGGTGTACTTTGATAGGCTCGGGCCAGCGGGGATGGCGCTCGGGAGGGTGAAGATAAGGGAGAAGACGGCGAAGATGGAGATGCTGACGAGGAGGAAGGAGATGCGTCTTGCGCCGATGCGGGGGAGCGGCCGCCCAAATATCATGTGTTGCTTAGGCATGATGGGCGAGCTAGGCGTAATCGACGATGAGGATTCGGGAATTCGGGGCCTTGAAAGGCCGTAGGCCGAGTGGGATGGATCAATTGAGGTTATCGTGGGTCGATGGAGTCGAGTCGAGTCGGTTCGGTTCGTAATGGTCGAGCTCAAGGGTATGACATGTGGACAGGGAGCTCCAACACCAAGCCAAGCCGAAGAACAGACACCTGGCTTGATAAATGAGAGGATGGAGATCAAATCGATCGGAACTACGATAAGGAAAGAAAGTGCAAAAGCGGTTGAAGAAGAGGAATTGACCCTAAGCGAAAGGCGAAAAAAAGTTTAGTTATCAGAAAGGGCCAGGGAGCTGCCCGTGTGAGAGGCGAAAGGTGAAGAACACGCGACAATCGTGGTTGAAGGTTCGTCGTCAATTCAGTGCTCCTCCTCCTTCATCCCTTTTTTCCCTTTCCTATCTCTTTCTCGGGATTGGGGAGCTGACGAAGACACGGTCGGCACACGGCATAAGGCACAGCAAGGGGGAACCTGAAGGCAACAGCAGCACGGCAGGTATCAGCCAACCAACATGCCGTGCAAAAATGACATCCCGTCATCCCACCCTCCGATCCCCCCTGGAATTTCTGAACGCGTAACTTTACGTGAAGCAAGGATCCTAATGTGGCCGATAAGATAAGCATTGCTCGTGTCTTATCCGATAGCGATAACAAAGTGGCTAGAGCTTGTGGCGGGGCCAAATTGTCTCATTCGTCTACTTGCCATCTTCAATGTTCCAGGCATCGCGATGGTTCATCCACCCAATGTCTATTCTCATGCCCATGTGTTCATTTAATCCGTAATGAGCGCTGTAGTATTCTTCAAATGAGTCAGCTGTTTGCAAACCATATGCTTTGTACAAACTCTTCGCGACCTCGACTACACGAAGTCTTGGCTGGCGCGTTCGTATAGCTGTAGCCCAGCGGCACAGCGTACCTATTCTCAGCAAGCATCGTGTCTACCAACCATTCAATTAGCCTAAGAAGCGTTCATTTCATTGCAACGTTCTTTCTAGCACCCTTGCTGAAGTACATGCGTCTCAGGATTGATGCCTCAATCAGGCCTAGTCAAGGCAGACTCGAGATGAGTCGCAAAACCCCAAAGTCCCCTGAGCAAACGGCACAGTAGTCGTTGGTTAAAATGCATATCATGAGGCGTTTGTTTCCTCTGGCAGATCCTGTTCGGTTCTGTTGCCATTTTCTTCATCTCGCGTTATGTTGTGTCTCTGCCAGCTTTCGCTCAGCCGAGCGCTCTTTGGAATACTTTCTTTCACGATACTACCCGTCCAAGCTGCCTACTTCACCGAACCGCCAAGTTTTGAACTTGACCGAAGTGGTGGCCGTGTGACGGTCCCGGATCTCAACAGCACTTACGTGCTTGGACAAAAGGTTCACATCACATGGGAGGTCCCAACTGTGCCATGGATCTCTCTGAGTCTAGTGCACTGGGGACAGGATGCCGGCATAGCTGTAGCGTCTTTCATCAGTAAGGACGATGTTGCAAGGTGCTTCAACTTAGCAATACTAACTGAAACCTTGCGAAGCCAATGATAGAAATAATGGGTATTATACCTGGTACATTGGAGAAAAAGATGGCATCACGGAGGAAACCATAGCCACAAACCCCAACTTCGCTCTGAGACTCATCGACCCAACCGGCAATTACACTCAGACTGATGCGCCTGCGGGCTTCATTGGCAACGCACTGCAAAGTCGCGGCTTCGTCGTCAAAGCGAACGCAACATCCGAGCCAGCGACGGAGTCGGCCGTCCCTTCAGCGGGCTCATCGAGCCTCTCCACCGGCGCCGTGGCCGGCATCGCGGTAGGATCCGCAGCGGTCGGAGCTCTGCTTGCAGCGGCTCTCTGTTTCTGGTTCCTGCGCCGACGCAACCGGCCGGCCTATGCTGCAAACACGGGAATCCAGGCTCGCCATCCCACGCCGACGCTCCATCCCGTTGTACACCAGCAGATGCGCCATGATTCGGCATACGCCAGCCCAAACTCGTCCGGCGACCACATGTTTGTGGTGCCGCCGGCGCGTCAACTGTCGCATCAGACTAGTAATGTGAGTCCGATCAGCAGGCGGCAGACTCCTCCGCCGTCGTACCCGTCGCCTGTGGACGAGTACCAGAATCCGAGGACGGAGCTGTCTGGTGTCCGGGAGCCTCAAGAGGTGCCGGCGACGAACTCAAGGGGCCGATCAGAACTTTCGGGATCTCAGAGAGCTTGAACTAGTAGGGCAAGACATGGTGATTCTTTGCATGATGGGTGCGGACAGGGATTTCACCTTCAAGAGGAGAGCAGCGACGATCTGTGAGAGGAGCTAAATGGATGCAAGGGGTAGCAGCATACTAATGAGAGTTTCAATATACCATAGTTACTAATAGTAACTTGAATTCTTTCTAGCTGCCAAGCTGCCAAGCTGTCCTCCAGCTAGTATAGTATAAAGGAGTGACAGTTGTCTGACCTCACGATTGAATGACTTGGGGAGACCAAGTGTTTTCGTTCAGATTTTGACCCTGGGTTTAGGAAGTAAAGACTTTTGTCGACAATATGGATGCGATCATCTAAGATATCATAGAATCCCACCAGAAATCATTTCCCATTGATCATCACAAGAGCGATGCATTTTAGAAGTAGATTAATCTCACCTGCGAAGATACGCTCTGACGTCGCCGCTCTTCAGTCTGAGTGTACTCCAAGGAACAGCCAATCTTTCAAATGGGATTCTTCTAAGGATTATTCAGATCAAAAAGTTCACTCGAGTTAGCTAAATTCGTGACAGTGAAGAAACCTCTAAGTGACAAAAGACAATCAAGGTTGTTGAATGAGTCTAAGACAGGGGAGTAGACTCTAACTTCATCTCCATTACGCCGCACTCTGTTGCGCAGATGGTCGGCCCCATTTTTGTTAGCGCAACTATGGCCCGTCTCCGAAGACGCTGGAAGTTCAATGACTCTGCAATTCAAGCTCACCTCAACTTTCATAGCCAAAAACTCAGTACCTCGTCTCACCTCACTCACTGTCTCATTCACAAAACCCTTACTCATCGATACGACGACCCCGGTAACCCCTGCAATGACCGACGCCCAACCCGAGATGAAGATTGATCCCTCGAGAGCAAAGGCTCTGGTTTCGCAGCTTCAGTCTGTCCAGGAGCGCGTGACCGCCGTCGCTGCGGGGCGAAATGTGAGTCGTCACTCTGTATACTTCACGGAAACGCTGTTGGGGAATCAGGGAGAATCTCTCTTCACAACGATGTGGACTATGTTTTGTGCGAGATGGATGCTGATTAATGACAACAGGTTCGGTTAGTGGCAGTCTCAAAGCTGAAGCCAGCCAACGATATCCTGGCGCTGCACCAGCAGACCACACCGCCGCAGGTGCATTTCGGCGAGAACTACGCCCAGGAGCTGGGCCAGAAGGCGGAGATGCTGCCCAGGAGTATTCAGTGGCACTTTATCGGTGGTTTGCAGTCAAGTAAGTGTTTCCTCAAAGACTCATGCGCTCCTCGCCCTCCCCTACGTAGTTCTGAGGTAGCTGACGCTTTTCCAATAGCACATGCAAAGAAGCTGGCCAAGATCCCAAATCTCTTCTGCGTCTCCAGCGTAGACACCCTTAAAAAGGTCCAGCTCCTCAACGCCTCGCGCGCGGAGCTCATCTCTTCTTCATCAGGCGAAAGCCCCGTGGAACCGCTCGGCGTGCACGTGCAGGTCAACACCTCGGGAGAGGAGTCCAAGTCCGGCGCCGAGCCGGGCCCGGATACGGTCGCGCTCTGCCGCGCCGTCGAGGAGGAGTCGCCCGCGCTCAAGCTGCTCGGCTTGATGACCATTGGCGCCATCGCGCGGAGCAAGGCGACGACGCCCGAGAACGAGAACGAGGACTTTGTGTGCCTCAAGGAGCAGCGGGGACTGGTTGTCAAGGAGCTGGGCTTGCAGAGGGAGCTGGAGCTGAGTATGGGTATGAGTGAGGACTTTGAGGGCGCGGTGAAGTTGGGTAGTGGGGAGGTTCGGGTGGGAAGCACGATTTTTGGAGAGAGGGGGCCTAAGAGTGAGGCCAAGATTTTGGTCTAGTGGAGTTGGTGTGAAGAGTTTTGGATGTCGAATGACTTTTGGATGAGGCTGGATGAATGTGATGGAGAAAGTTGATACACATTGGCTGTGGGGAGGCGAGGTGAGTTCTGGGCCAGGAATGATGCGGTCTACAACCTGCCCCGAAGTAGTGTTCACACGTATTGATGACGATGATAGATATAAAAACCAAGTCACTAGCGTTGTGGCGTTCATCCGCCCCCTTTCTTCTAGCTTTACGACGTCTCAGTTGGTGATGCAACGAGCTATAGTTCGTGTGAACCATCCTCTCCAAGGGAGGCGAATAACTCCATAAGTCTGCTTCGAGTAGTAGCTGACTTGGAGAGAGGAGATAGATGTAGGCGCTTTGCACCATCTCAATTTTTACTCGTCCTCAAGCTTTCGGAGTACGCGGCCTCATTTTTCATATGACTCTGGAACTGTTCTTGCCCTTCACTCTCGCTCTTGATTGCTTTTCATCACTGCGAACGATTTTCCTAAGCATTTCTCTCCTCTCATTCATACAAGTTCTCCAGTGCCATACCGAGCAGCATGAACGCGCTAGATCCTCCAGACACATGCTAGGCTTGTCATTCACACGGCGTCAGGGAAGTCTCATGTTTGAGCCTCTGAGAATCAATAATCTGCCAAGTGGGCGGCTGAACAAGAGAAGCAGCACAATAGATAGGATTGAGGCTAGCTATGACACTCAGTCACCTCACGACAAGGAGACGGACAATAGTGGGGGACAGGGTTCATCCTGTGTTAGCGGGAAAGCGTGTTAGTACACCGAGGATCATTTTTTTTAATGGGTTTATATTGAGTATATAAACCCGAACGAACGAAGTAGAGTTAAACCGATCGGCCTAACTCGAAATGTAGGAACTCAAGCGAGAACCCAAGACCAGAACTCCTTTTAACGCCCTCCGACCTGTGGTGTCTTATTGCACCGGGTATATCATCCAAGGAGAATCCAAACTCCAGACAATGCTCCCGAAAGCATGGTGCCTTTTTTTCACCGGGCATTCATGCCGTCACTGCCCTCCCTTCTTTTTGGAGTGGCTTTCTCTCTCCAGTCCTCATACCAGAGAACCCCACACCCACAGACTCCCCGTTCCCAATACCTTCCTTCGCTTAAAGGTGTTGGGCAATGATCCCATCGACCTCATCTGCCAGGACTTGGTAGATGTAGTCTTGCATGTCCGTAACGAACAAAGCGTTGATCTTGGCGTCGAAACTGGGGAATTCCGGATTGCTGTCGAATAGTTCGTCGGTCAAGCGGCAGCCATCACACCAGAGATAGTAGTCTTGTTGCGTGAGCATCACCATGAGCTTGGCCAGAGTGTTCGTCATTTGCTTGGCCTGCTGACCGACTTGTACCAAGCGACTTCGGTATCCCGGAAGCTGGTTCGTCGAAGGATCACTTGTACGCAGGATATCCTGAATTCGCCAGGGCTCGATCGGGATGCCCCTTCTGCGGTGAACTTCAAGAGTTGCAGCGGCTCCAGCCGCGACTTGGCCGAGTTCTTCTGGCCCGTTACACTTCTGACGGAAGTGGTGGCAGATCTGAGCGAGCCTGACGAGATGGGCGTTGAGGGCAACACGAAGGCTCTCGTACTTGTCGATGGTGGTCTTGCTGGTGCGGCCATCTCTCCCGTCAATCTCGCACGCCGTTCCGCTCTTTTGGCACTTGGAACAGGCGTGGCCGGGGCTCCCGTCGCACTTTGTCTTCTTCCTGCGGCACGACTTGCAGGAGAAGGCCCTGACGGTGCGAGCAGGCTTGTCTGGCGTGGCCCCCTTTGGCCTGCGCGGGGCTTTGGCTTTGCCGTTGCCGTTGCCCTTTCCTCTTTTCTGGACTCTTGCGTCCTGATTGTTTGGGCCGAGGACGTCTCTAACGACATTGTCGTCGCCGAAATCCTCGTCGAATTCCAGAGCGAATATGCTGTCGGCGGCGGGAGTTTCGGGCGCGAAGAAGGGCCCAGGAGGGACAGGGACAGGAGCGGGGAGAAGAGCAGGGTCAATTGAATATGGCATTTGCTCTTGGAAGTTAAATCCACCGCTGTTGCTGGCGTCCATGCCTCCTGCTGGGCCTGATTCATTGGCGTATACTCCGGCGCCTTGGACGATACCAGAGGTGACAGTTCCGTCCAAACCTTGTGGAGAGGTCGAATTAGACAGGCTGGAGGCCATCTCGCTGAATTGGGTTTGGATATCCTCGCTCTCCCAATCAATGTCAATGTCTTGGGAGTTATGAGGCACGACCTCGTTAAGACTTTCGTCCCAGACGTGAGTGACCGGGTAGTACGCCGGATTCATCTGGTAGTCCTGGGGATTCATCTGGTATTCCTGGGAATTCATCGTGTTTGTTGGTTGTAATGAGTATATGATGAGAGGAGTTGTAGTTCAATTGGATTGATGAATGTATGCCAGATGAACTGTAGTGTGATGAAGACTAGAGGAGCTGACAACCACAAGACAGAGGAATGCTTGGCACTTTATAGGAGACAGGAAGAAGCAGAAGCTACAGAGGTTCACGATGCTCCCGCACCCCGGGAAGCATAATTTGGAGAGGATGTATCTCCGGCGATGTCTTTTTGGCTAATGTACACGTCCATGAAGCAAAATGGCGGCAAGTAGAGGGGGTCAGGAGTGTAAAACAGCCACTCGGTGACTGGATTCTGGAGGCAAATGCCCAGGCGTCCAGGCACAGAAAACATAGTTCGGAGTGGGAGCGGTAAGTTCGAAGACATGTCTGTCCAGGTAAGTGATCTGGGCATAAGTCACTTGAGGCACCGAAGAATGTTAAGAGAGGATTGGGCACGGTCTGAGGAGTCTGGTGGCGAGTAGAGCAATTGACGCGGAGATAGAGGGAGTTGAGAATGTGAGGCTTGAGGATTCGAGAGCTTGAGGATTACGGACATTGCGGTTCGTTGAGGGAGGTGTACACGACTTCAGAGCATTGGATATATTTCTTGTTGGTATAGAGATGCCATTGCTAGATGCTGAAACACAACGCTATTAATTGATTCTCTGTTCTGCCAACTTGGACGAGATTCATTGCACTTTTATTCGTTGCAATACCAATTTCAAGACCATGGATTGACATCAGTCACACAGGAGTGGGCGATGGTCGAGGAAATGAGCATCCGGACTGCCCGCACCTCTTTAGACCATTGAGGGCTGGAGTCATTGTCGTTCCAAGGCTAGACACGCAGCCACTCCGGGCTGCCAGACGTAGAGACCAAGAGTTTAGACTACTATAGGTACCAATTGGCCGTCTATGAAGTCTTCCATCATCCAATTGTTAGATATGCCAAGGTACCTCAGACCTGGAAGACTTAGACGCCGGATTGCCGAGGGCATTTCATGTCTCCTTTTCTTACAGATAGTTCCACGGAATCCTGGGTGAAAGTCAAAGGGACTGAAGAGCTTGATGTCCAGTTGACCAAGCCATCAGCACTGACACTTAACCGGACTTTGAATGTGTTCGCTTCTGCGTTGGTCCTACTGTGCGGCTCAGCAGAGGAAAACGAAAGTCCGGTTCTCAACCGTGTAAGTCGGTGTAAGTGGTCCGTGTAAGTGAGCCGTGTAAGTGAAAAGTCAATAGAGTGTCGTCGAATGGTCGCCTGGGGCAGCGAAAATAAGGTTTCGGTTGAGTCAATTGGGTGCGCTGTGCCTGAAGATCCGCCCCACGAACACCCATAGGGCCGGCCGTCTCACTGGGTTGGCCAATGACATCTCCCCTACGCCGCCTGACAGATGCACCAAATGCCTGGTTCAACTGCTTTTCGCCTACTGCCGTACCTTAATTCTACTTTCGCTGTTCTCGTTTATCGCAACTTTCTACGTCCTTGCCTTTTAATTCTACGCCGTTTGAAGCGTAGCACTAAGACAATCTCCTCATATCGTCTATGAGAGGCAACCTGAAGAGGAGTGTGAAGCCAGGGCCTCTTAATTCATCGGAGATAGCAAGAAGAATCTGCACACCATGTTGGCCCGCACTGTTGCACTGTGGCTATGTGAGCAAGAAGGCGGCGATAGAGCGGAAGTAATCTTGGCCACTGTGTTAAACACACTAAGAACCGAATTCTGAGGAACCCGGAAGGGTAGGTACCTGAACATGGAGGGTGTCTTTCTTCAGGTACCTCACGCTGGAGCGCTCGTCCAGGTAGCCAAAACTGGGATACCCAGCTGAGCCCCCAAGTGTTTTGTGTCTTCCATGGGCTCTTAGATGACAGAAAGACTGGGAGGCCGATGCCAAAGCTATGGGTAGAGAGGTTCCATGAAGGCTATTATTGGAATCTCGGGATTCTGGATTAGCTTTCGTGGTGATTATTGCCTTGATCGACAGCCATAGCTCACATATACAGGGACAGGGGAGGAAGTGAGCTCTGCAGTCTACTGTTGGAGGACTCTGCTAGCATCACACGTCCGGCAATCAAACAATCGGCGAATATCGTCTACCTCACCTGGAACGATGTTGAGAACGGTTGTAGAATTCTTCCTCTTACAGCCTGAACACCGTCACCAGTGGCATAGCCAAATGATGAAAGACACACGGAGCACACTAGGACTGTCCATGAAGTCAAGAGCATTGCCCATATCCTCAATCACTGGTCGACACTCTTTTGTTGGTGATGGGCGACAGCAGAGCATGAGTCTTGGACGGTAATAAAACACTGTGAGTCTCACTTATATCAACGAGTTCTAGACCAGTACATATTTGATACGGAATGCCAATTGAGCCCTGTTGCTTGCCATAATTCGTCACCCTCAAGGCCAATTGTCTGTCCCACCCAGGCTGTATCCCACTTATGGAGAGGTAGTTACAGCCCGTCCCGATCCCGTCCCGATGTTGAAGGTCAAGACTCCTCGGCGGCAGCCTCGCTGTAAGATGGGCAACGGTCATAGTCAGTGACGATTAGGTTATCATGAGGAAGCTCATGTGGAGTCTGAAAGTATTGACCCACAATCCTTTCCTTACCCTTACTGCTTGACCAGCAGCACAGAAGACCCGAGTCAACGATAATGGTTAAGGAGTCACGGAAGTTTCCTAAATGATGTCTCTAGATGCTAATTACATGTCAAACCATTTCAGAATCGGATGGTTTCCAGAAGTGAAGACTCTGCAGTCGCCAAAATGAGCATGAGTTGGGTGTTCTTTGGATAGTGGAAAGAGATGTCGATGTTCTCATTTACGGTGCGACGTGTTGAGATCTGGGTAGATCAGTCAAGCTACGTGTAACTCAATTGACTTGGAAGTATAACATGGCGTCACTTGAACGCGATTCAATTCGTTTCCGTTTCGTTATTGAGCAATGGAAGCAATGTGATGATTGTGCTGATATTAGATCGAACTGATTCCTTCCAACAGCATCCCCTTATCTCATAGCAAGGGTAAAAACAGGCCAACAGCGACAGCTACAATCGGAAAGGCCACTGGAACTCTCAACGCCCCCGCAGCACCATCAGGACCGCTGCCCCTCGAAGTAGCCGTTGTAGTTCCCTCGGCGGTTGTGGTGGCCGAAGTCTGGAACGGGTAAGAAAAGTTGACTACAGCCGAGATACCAGGGCAGACACCCTCGAGAAGCTGCTTGGTGTACAAATTTTCTGCCTGGGATGGACAGACAAGAGACAAGCATACGCTAGCTTAGGCATGAGCATAACTACTACTTCGCAACACATCGTGGAAAGTCGAAGAATGGGAGGGATACTCGCCGTGCTATACTCTTGTGTGCTGGACATAAGCAATCGGTCAAGACTCCGACGGCATCCGATGCGTCGTTTTCTTTGAGGGTTCTGGTTACGTACGGTACGCAGCTTTTCGACCAGAACTGGTCCAGTATGACGGAGTTTGTGCAGGAAGAGTAGAGTCTGGATAGTTTTGTTAGTCACTTGCTTTTGGTGACTGAGGAAGTTGGAAGATATCATACATCCATGGCCTGATTAGGCCTCTGGTGGTACACTCCTCGTCCCAGGGGGTGATCCGCGGTTTTGATGGCCCGGCCAATGTGGGCATGATACCAGGCACCGACTGCGTCTGTATCGCTGTCTGTCCCGAGACAAGTTGAGGCATGAGCCATATGAAGAGAGTGAGAAGAGGCAGGAAAGCCCTATTTACTGAATGGTTGAAATTTTCCATCGTGGGCATGGAGGTTTGAGGCATGATAAGGTGCAGATTGCATGTAGGCGTTTAGAGAAGGCTCACGCAGAATGACTACCTTACTGCAAGACGCCTCGAGAGAGTAGTTGCCCTCTACGGCGCAGCTCGCCACGCGCGTACGCGATTATTGAATGAAACACAAACATCTAGACTGCCCACGAGACTATTAGACTACCTGGGGAAACCGCACTCGGTCCAATACGCTACACTCTGCTTGCTGCGCCGCCCAGTTGCATCTCAGGATCATGGCTAAATGGTGTACGCCAATCTTGAGCGCGAAAGGCCCTGGTCTAATCTCGTATATTGATTCATACTGAAAGACGATGCAGACTTTGACAAACAAACGTAGGCAACTGGGAGATAGTAGAGATTTGTGTTTTGCAATACGACATTATGCCATTGAGATGTAGGAATGCGGTTGCGCTTGAGACGTTGGGCTAACACGGGTATTGACCAGCTGGGCCCAGGCGGCACCATCTGTTCCTGGCCGAGGCATTGTGGAAGCCGACGATATGCGGCCAAGCTCCCCATGCCCCAGCTCTTCTCCAAGGTCTCTGTAACTTGCCGATCGACCCCTCGTTGCCATTCCTCATTCAATTCAACCTCAAAATGCTTGCCATTCGCCCATCAGTCTGTAGGGCGTGCCGAAAGGCCCAGATCCGCCCGGCGAGAGCGTTCGCAACCGCCAGCGGTCCCATCCAGCAGCCGCCCCGCGACAACTATGTGAAGCTCGTCGAGGTCGGTCCTCGCGATGGCCTCCAGAACGAGAAGAAGACGATACCCCTTGCGACCAAGATCGAGCTGATTGAGAGGCTCGCCAAGACTGGTGTGTCTACAATTGAAGGCGGCTCCTTTGTCTCGCCGAAATGGGTTCCCCAGGTAAGCTTACCCGAGTGGCCTGATGAATCTTGGTATCAGTGTTACTGACGGCTGAACGGTTACAGATGGCCAATTCAAGCGAAATTCTTGAGCACCTCCTCACCCGAAAGGTCTCCTCTCCAGCCCAAACATCATACTCATTTCTTGCACCGAATATCAAGGGTCTGCAGAACGCCCAAGCGCTGCTGGCCAAATACCCCGGCGCATTCGCATCACAACTCCAGCCCTCAGCTGATGCTTCGACTCCCGCCGTCGAAGTTGCCGTTTTCGCGGCAGCGACCGAATCTTTCTCGAAGAAGAACCTCAACTGCGACATTGCGACGTCACTAGACCGCTTCCGCGAGGTCATTCGCGAGTCAAAAGCGGCCGGCCTCCGCGTTCGCGCATACGTCTCCGTGGTCCTCGGCTGTCCCTTTGAGGGGTACGACGTTGACCCGCACAAGGTCGCCGAGATCTCGACGGAACTGCTGGAGTCAGGCGCCGACGAGGTGTCCCTGGGCGACACCACCGGCATGGGAACCGCTCCCCGGACCAAGGAGCTGTTGAACTGCATGAGGGCTGCGGGAATCCGCAACGAGGATATTGCGATGCACTTCCACGACACGTACGGCCAGGCCCTGGTTAACACGGCTGTGTCTTTGGAGCATGGTATTCGCACTTTCGACAGCAGTGTTGGCGGTCTTGGAGGATGTCCTTACAGCCCCGGTGCGACTGGCAATGTGGCTACGGAAAACATGATTTACTTTATTGAGAGTCTGGGTATGGACACTGGCATTGACCTGGATGCGATGTCTGATATTGGTGCTTGGATCACGGGCGAGTTGAGCAAGGCCAACGACAGCACTGTTGGAAAGGCTGTTTTGGGCGCCAGATCTCGTGAAGCGGCGACAGCGTAGTCTTGAGTTTCTTGAGAATCGAATTGGAGTTTGAGATGCATTTTTCAGTTCTTGTCTTGATCTGTATTATCGCATGAGTTCATTCAGCCCTGAAATGCCCAGGGAAAATGCATTGGAAGAAGGTGAGGTACCTCGTATTACCTTCAGGTTGGAGTGCGGGCAGTCATGTGATGTCACTGCCACAATTCGTGACTGCTAGCGCCCAAGCTGACACTGAGACCGATAATGGCACACTGGGAAGCTCCCAGGCGTCCAAGGCCCGCGCCCCCCAGTCACCAGTGATCTTATCGGCGCCACCTCAGCTTGCCGAGCGGGCTCCACCAAGACGAAGCAAGCTCCAGTGCAGTGCATTCGACGACACTGCACCGACCTGCCAACCTCCTCCAGCTACGTACATCGCAGCGCCTCGCATCGTCTCCATCAATCCGCCCGCCCACGCCCTTCCTAATCGCCCCCCCTCCGACCCAACACGCATTGTCTTCTAATCCGGCGCTGTCTCGCTGATAGTCAGAAGCAATGAGTGACCCTCGGGAGCCCTCTTACTCCATCGTGCCGAGAATTCGGTACAACACCGTCGGCGGTGTCAACGGACCCCTCGTCATCCTCGAGAATGTGCGTCGTCGCCCAGTCGCGCTGGAGTTCCCGCCAGCGAATTATCTGAGTTAGGCACTGATTCTGCATCTAGGTCAAATTCCCCAGATACAACGAGATTGTCTCCCTGACCCTGCCCGATGGAACCAACAGACAGGGTCAGGTTCTCGAGGCTCGAGGTATTTACACAACGTCATTCCTCTGCTCAATAACATGCGTGCTAACGAACATCTCTAGGTGACCGAGCCGTCGTCCAGGTATGCGAAAACGAGCGATCACACGAGAAACACCGATTGACGATGGAAACAGGTCTTTGAGGGAACATCAGGCATCGATGTTAAGAAGGTATGAGATCATCGCATCTCGACAAATATGACGAGCGCTAAAACTCTAGCCAGACGAAAGTCGAGTTCACCGGCCAGAGCTTGAAGCTTGGTGTGTCGGAGGACATGCTGGGTCGTATCTTTGACGGTTCCGGACGTGCTATCGACAAGGGCCCCAAGGTCCTTGCTGAGGACTACCTCGACATCAACGGCAGTCCCATTAACCCCTTCTCCCGTGTATGTGACGCCCCCGAATATCACACCATGGTCTTGGGTTCTGACACGTTGTAGGAATACCCCGAGGAGATGATTTCGACCGGTATTTCTGCCATCGACACCATGAACTCCATCGCCCGTGGACAAAAGATTCCTATTTTCTCTTCGTCTGGTCTGCCGCACAACGAAATTGCCGCCCAGATTTGCAGACAGGCCAGTTTGGTCCAGAAGCAGGGTGTCACCAACAAGGGTGTCCACGACGGCCACGAGGAGAACTTCTCCATTGTCTTCGGTGCCATGGGTGTCAACTTGGAAACCGCCAGATTCTTCACCCGCGATTTCGAGGAGAACGGCTCTTTGGAGCGTGTCACCCTTTTCCTTAACCTTGCCAACGATCCTACGTGAGTTTTGATATCAGAATGTACCGTAAAGGAATGTGCAGGCTGACAACCATGCCAGTATCGAGCGTATCATCACTCCTCGTCTCGCGCTTACGACCGCCGAATACTACGCCTACCAGCTCGAGAAGCACGTTCTCGTTATTCTTACTGATTTGTCCGCTTACTGCGACGCTCTTCGTGAGGTCTCAGCCGCCCGTGAAGAAGTCCCGGGTCGTCGTGGTTACCCCGGTTACATGTACACGGATTTGTCCACCATTTACGAGCGCGCCGGTCGTGTGGCGGGTCGCAACGGTTCCATCACCCAGGTTCCCATTTTGACCATGCCCAACGAGGATATCACTCACCCCATTCCCGACTTGACGGGTTACATTACGGAGGGTCAGATCTTCGTCGACAGAGGCCTTTACAACCGTGGTATTTACCCGCCCATCAACGTTCTGCCGTCTCTGTCTCGTCTCATGAAGTCTGCCATTGGTGAGGGCATGACCCGCAAGGACCACGGCGATGTTTCCAACCAGCTCTACGCCAAGTACGCCATCGGTCGTGACGCCGCTGCCATGAAGGCTGTCGTCGGTGAGGAGGCTCTGTCAGCTGAGGACAAGCTTTCTCTGGAGTTCCTCGAGAAGTTTGAGCGCCAGTTCATCAACCAGGGCCAGTACGAGGCTCGCACCATTTACGAGTCTCTCGACCTGGCATGGAGCTTGCTCCGTCTCTACCCCAAGGACCTGCTCAACCGTATTCCCGGCAAGGTTCTCAACGAGTTCTACCAGCGTGCGGCCAAGGAGGCCAAGGACAAGGGCAAGCAGAGACAGCAGGTGCAGCAAAACGAGGAGAACCTGATTGACGCATAAGCGGGGACGCTAAATGCGGGTGCTTGATATCCCCCAGAAGTCGGCAACGTAGTAGGACAACCAGTCGACGTTGTGTATACGTATGAGGGGGCACGAGAGTGTGAGATGGGCAACTTTTGGACCTAGACAATGGCATGCAATTATTAGTTTCTACACATGCCATGTCTCAGTGATGTTTTTTTGTGTTTGCGGGAGATGTGCGCGAGATTTTCATCATTTACAGAATTGTTTATTGCATTTGCATTCCCGGAGGAACAATTCGATGTCCAGCCAGATAAACCAGCGTGGACCCATGAGAAGTGACATCGAGGCTTTTGATGGCCAAGATCCGGTCTACAGCGGGTTAGCACGAATGAACCATGGCACGGACCAACGTCGTCAGCCAGGCGCACCGCCTCAGTGAACCCCACATCATCCACACCGAGCCAACTCCCCACCATGAGCATGCGGCTACCTTACCTTACCTCACCTCCCGACCTTACCTGATGCAAGACGAGAGTTCCTGCGCAGAGCAATCCGACGAAGCTACCTACTTTCAATCACACCAGCGACCGACGGCATATAGAAACCTTGCCGTAAACACAACCTCACCTACCGATAAGTGAACCGAACCCTTTGCGTATACGGCATAGCGAACGACCATACCCACAATGTCCATTCACCGGGAGCTCAACGCCGCCTCGCTCAGCGACGCCTGGCGGACCATCAATATTGACGCCCTGCAGGAGGACTCGGCGTGCAACTTTGACACCAACACCCTGCGGCCGCCGCAGCCCGAGATTGGCGAGGATGAGGTCCGGCAGCTCGCGGGCCAGGTGCGGCAGTTGCTCCGCGGCGGGGACGCCGAGGGGGCGTTGAGGGGATGTTTGGAGTTTCCTGTGTACAACGGACCTGATGGCGCCAAGGTGAGATTTAAGACCCGGGGTTTCTGATATCTAGGCATTTGAATGGAGCTCGGGAGTTTGCTAATCGAGTTATTCCGCGAACAGGACGCCCACCTCCAGACCATCACCGAGGTCCTCCAATCCATCAAGGCTTCCGAGATGACGCCCCTCCTCAAGTCCATCTACGGCGGCGCCGGCGGACCCGAGCTTCTCGACGTGCTGATGAAGTACATTTACAAGGGCATGGCCGGCTCTGCGGCCTCTGGAGGACTGAGGTCGCCGCCGCCGCAGGCTGCGCCGAGCGGGTTCAGCCAGATGGGCGGTCGCCCCGGAGCCACCAACGAGAACGTCGGTAGCGCGATGAGCGTGTTGCTTAGCTGGCACGAGAAGGTTGTTGACGTGGCTGGGTTGGGAACTATTGGTCGTGTCATGACGGATTGGAGACGGGTTTAAGGGGGCGAGAAGGACGAGGAGTAGTGAGAGAGAGAGAGAGGGGGCGGAAAAGAAAAGGGTGCGTAATGAACTTCATGACGAGTATGGGCATGCTCGGGGTTTTGGGCGTGTCTTTTTTCACTGAATCAAATTAGAAAAAGACTGGGCGTGCCGACAAATGAAATCCATAGAATTTTTTATTTTGACTCTGGTTTTACAGGTTTTACAGTTGATTTCTTACAAATGTGCCAGATTCGGCATCATATCTAATTGGACTCTAAGATGTCCTTGAGGTTCACGTCTCCGCTTCCTCTCGGCAGCGCCGTGGGCTGGTCGGCGCCCTCGTGCCACCCGATCATGTAAATGATTCTAAACGTGGCGGGGATGCTCCCGTCCTCGTTGCCGTGGAGCTCCCTGTAGATGCCCTCGTTGGCCAGCAGCACCTCCCTCCTGATGGCGCCCATTTCCCTGCCGAGGATGGCGTTGCCCTCGCCCATGGCCTGCAGGTCTTGCATGAGCGCAAAGGTATCTGGGTAGTCTACGACAATGTCGTCGACGTCGACGGTAAGCATCTTGAAGCCGGCGCGCTGCATCAGGCCGCCCACGTCGCGGACGTCAGCGAGGGGAGACACGTGCGGGGAGATGCCGCCGCGGCGCTCCTGTTCCGCGAGCTGGAGGGAGGTGCGCAGCTCAAAGAGGCTGTCGCCGCCGAGCATGGCGCCGATGAAGGGAGCGTCTGGCTTGAGGACGTTGTTGATCTGCGTTAGGACGCCCGGGAGGTCGTTGATCCAGTGTAAAGACAGGGAGGAGAGGACAAGGTCGAAGGAGGCGGGCTCGAAGGGGACGTGTTCCTCGTCGACGAGGACGGTGCGGGTGATGGAGATGTCGTTGTTGAAGGGGAGGTCGGCGTCGCGGTGAAGGAGGGTGTGGGAGGACTCCGCGGCGACGAGTTCGCCTATGCGGGTGGCGAGGGGTTCTGAGATTGGTTTTGAGGGGTCCGGGTCTGGGTTCTCGCGGGTGAGGGCGCGGGCTACGTTGCAGGAGTTTGCGCCTAGGTCGAGGGCGCGGGGGAAGCTTCGTTTGATGTCCTGTTGGAGAGTAATGTATTAGTGTCTGGTTTGTCTCTAGAGGCATTGGCCATTGTGGATGCTGTCAGGTTGAGGTCTGCCGTAAAGCAATGCTCTGGGAGAGGGGGGTCATGGATGTGATGGCGGTGATGTTCTCACCAGTAACCTCTCGCACAGCCGGTTTGCGACTTCATCTTTGAGGTAATCTGCTTGCCGGCTGGCCTCGGGATTCGATGCTGCGCGCTCCTTTTGCAGCCATTTTGTGCGACGGTTGAAGACCTGAAAGGCAGCAGAGCCGCCGCCGGATGTTACGGCGTAGGACCGGCGTATGGTTGTGGAGGGGGATCCGGCGAAGAACCGGGAGCTCGGTGCGGCGGCGAGGCACACCACCCGTCTGGTCGTGGAGTTCATCACCGGCGCCGCATATCTGCACCGGAGTGCTGAGACGGACATGGGGGAAAAGGATTGTGTGACTTTTTGGAATTGAGAATCCTGCAGAAGAACAAAGAGACGGTGGCGGCTGTGGTATGTGGTAGGATTTGGGTTTTTTGTTGAATAAAAGAAGGTTTTCTTATTATGGATTGACAGACGGGAGGGGAGCTCTTTCCTTCTGCATGGGAATTTCAGCAACTTCGATGATGCAGTACTTTGGTTTGGCTTGTCAGCACACTTTGGAGCTTGCCAATTGACGGGAACCAACCGAGTTTAGCGCGCATAGTTACGTACCTTTCTGACGGGGAAGGTGTCGCTCCTGCACGGGCCTGTAGCGTGCGTGCCCCCCCGGTCAAAGTCCCCTCTCTTGAGTTTCTGTCTCCCCAACTTCATCAGTCAGCAACGGGGAGCATGTTCAATGGCTTGAGAAATTGGTCGATGGAAGTACCTTGCAACACCCCTGACGCGCCCAGTCTTCAAGCAGCGGGCACACTGGGCGCACAGCAGCAAGGCCGCCCGCGAAGAGCCCAGTCTATGGGGGACAAGTGTGACAAGCAAGCACCTGATAGACGCTGGGACGCTTACCTGACTGTCCTGACGTTCAACTCGCAGCAGCTGTTGATGCCCGTGTTGCGTGTTGTAGACATCCAGGATGCTTTCGCTGAGGTGAGAGGTACATGACCTGTAAAGAAGTACAAGCAGAGGTACCTCGGAGTGGTTTGACGGGCCCGTTCAGACGTCCAATGTGCGGGTGGCACATCTCCACACATTGGCTGCATTCCCAATCCCAAGCCTTCCGGGCTTCTCTAAAGTGTCGTTTTCTCCCAAGCCCGCGAAAGCCCCTCGAACCCCTTTCCTTGGAGTTTCGTTTCCCATTTCACAGTTCCGCCCAGTGCAACATCGCGAATCGACGCCGAAACCCTTACAAGGCCGAACTCAATCTCGAGTCAACCATCAGCCTCTGTCCATTGTCGATAACCCCCTGGTTGCGTCTTCATTACTCGACGGGAACACATTGCTAAGACACGCAGCGGCACTTGCCGGTCGGTTTCGAGTTCGAGTCGCCGAGTCCACAATCCCGCCGTCCACCGATCCGACCGTTGATCTCCCCAAAAACTCCACGCGGCTATCAGCAGTTCAGCTGGGGTAAGCGAGCAGAAATACGAGAAGAAAGGACCCTCGCGCGCGCATGGAGTGATTGCCCAACGCTCGCATCGGAGCAGACAACAACACACGACCCGTCGCCAAATACACACCACCCATCGATTTCGCATCCGCGACGCTCTATTACGAAACTCTCGTAGCGAGTCCAACAACATCCGCCAGCTCAACCCCTTTCATCCCGCGCAGAAGAGGGGGGAAGGCACTTTGGAGGGCAGAGGAGACAGCTTCAAACAGATTGCCCGTCGAATCCGGCAAACACCGCAGCCATGTCGTCCTCCGCGAGCGGCTTCCTCGGCCGCTCGACTAGCAACAACTCCAACATGCGAGGGTTGGTGCAATTCATTGCCGATTTGAGAAACGCAAGAGCTAGGGAGCTGGAAGAGAAGAGAATCAACAAGGAGCTGGCCAACATTCGGTGAGCACGCATCTCCCGGCATGTCATACTGCGCTGTCTCGCGACGGAGTACTAACAAGAGTTCCCACGTGTAGACAAAAGTTCAAGGGTACGAATCCGTTTTAGCGGTCAGTCGGCGCGATCTCGTTGTGCTAACTCCTTTGCAGATGGCAACCTGAGCGGTTATCACAAGAAGAAATACGTGTGCAAGGTACGGCCTGTCCTGAGCTGCATTGGCTGGTGTTTCGTGCTGACAATCTATGAAGCTCCTCTACATCTACATCCTCGGATGGAATGTCGACTTTGGCCACCTCGAGGCCGTCAACCTCATCTCGGCGAACAAGTACTCGGAGAAGCAGATCGGATACCTCGCCATGACCCTATTCCTCCACGAGAAGCATGAGCTGCTGCACCTGGTCGTCAACAGTATAAGGAAGGACTTGCTGGACCACAATGAGCTGTTCAACTGTCTGGCTCTCCACGCAATTGCCAACGTCGGTGGCAGAGAAATGGGAGAGGCCCTGAGCGGAGAGGTTCACAGGCTTCTGATTTCGCCGTACGTTTGGTTGACCCCAGAGTATCAGGCCAGTGACTAACAGCAGCGATCCAGAACATCCAAGGCGTTCG